GTGTGGAAAGCTTGGAACCCTGCGGGCAGTAGAATGGGTTTCAACCAGGGGCTGGAGCGATAGCACAGCGGGTAGAGCGTTTGCCTTGCATTCAGCCAACATGGCCGACTCAGGTTCAATTCCCAGCATCCCATATGGTCCCCCGAGCACTGCCAGGAGTAATTCCTGAGTGCATGAGCCAGGAGTAACCCCTGAGCATTGCCTGGTGTTACCCAAAAAGAAAAAGAAAAAAAAAAAGAATGGGTTTCAATGGAAAATGCTCAAAGTTACCCCTGCTGTCTGAAAATAGAACATTTCCTTTGCATATGATTTGGTGGTCATATATTGGGGGTGGGGAGGGGGGTGTCTGTGAGTGCCGTTTCCTAAGCAATTGCGTTTTTAAAAAATAAAGTAACAGGACTGCCACATGGTCCAGAAGCTCCCCTGAGGATATGCTCCAGGAAGCTGAAAGCAGGGCCTCAAAGGGGTGTGTGAGTGCCTGTGTTCATAGCTGGCATTCCTCACGGTGGCTGCCGGTACACCCAGGGCACAGTGAAGCATTGCTCAGCTCTTAGAAAGGAAGGAAATTCTGACATGCTACAGCATGGATGATCCTATGGCCATTACACGAAATCCAAAATGCAAAGAGCTGCTCACACACACACACACACACACACACACACACACACACACACACACACACACATACATCACACATATTAGGGACCAGAGCGATAGTACAGGAGGTAGTACTTACACGCGGCTGACCCGGGTTCCATCCCAGGCATCCCAATTGGTCCCCTAAACCCCACCAGGAGTAATTCCTGAGTGCAGAGCTAGAGTAACCCCTGAGTATCACCAAGTGTGACTCAAAAAAAAAAAAACTCAAAACTCACAGATCCTGGAGAGCTCACCTCCCATGAGGTCCTTGGAGTCATCATGACCATAGACAGAACCTAGAATGGGGTTTCTAGGAGTCAAGGGCAGGGGAGAATGAGGAGTTACTACTTAAGGAACACAGGGTTTCAGTTATACAGGACAGAAAGTGGCGGATGGTTGAACAGCGATCAGAATGTATTCCCCCCCCCCCCCCCCCCCCGAACTGCACACTGGAGAATGACCAAAGGGATGGGCTGGAGTGACAGTACAGCAGGTAGGGCTCTTGCCTTGCAGGCAGCCGACCCGAGTTCGATCCCTGCCATCCCATATGGTTCCCCAAGCCCTGTCAAGAGTAATTCCTGAGTGCAGAGCCAGGAGTGACCCCTGAGCATTTTCAGAGATAGCCCAACTGCTCCCCAAAAGAAAAAGAAAACCAAAATAAATAAAATTTTATTTTATTTTTATAAAAGAAAAAGTATTTTATTTTTATCAAAGAAAAATATTTTATTTTTTATAAAAGAAAATAAAATAAAGCCAAAGGGACCAGGGGCGTGACGTGGTGGTCGAGCACATGCTTCCAGTACAGGCACCCGGGATTTGAGCCCAAGCACCCCCTTCCTATCTCTCTGGTCCTAGAGTAAGTGTTTGAAATGTGATTTCCCCAAAGCTAAGGTGCTACATTTTCTGCTGTGTCTATTTCATCACAATAAAATTAATGAAAGGTCTGGCTATGTGGCTCAGTGATATAATACTTGTCCTGCACGTGTGAAGCACTGGGTTCAGTCCCCAACACACTAGTTCCTGAAACACTGCGCCCGGGATAACCCTTGGGCACTGCCTGGTTTGACCCAAAAGCAAGCAAGCAAAAGCCAGGAAGTATTACTCTCAGGCATAGGGGTTAAGGAGCTCACTCGAGTGGTTGGAGTGCGTGCTTGGCATGTGTGAACCGTGGGCTTAATCCTTGACACCACCTGGTCCCTACATTGCCAGCGGTGATCCCTGAGGACCACCGTGGGTATAGCTCCTGAGCATTGATGTGATCAAAAAAATTGTTTTAATAAATTGAAAAAATTGAGGTTGATGGGATTCTAAGCACACTGAGCATATTCGCAGTCATGAAGGGGTTAAAAAAATAAAGTTTTGGAGCTGGAGCAATAGCACAGCGGGTAGGGCGTTTGCCTTGCACACGGCCAACCCAGGTTCAATTCCCAGCATCCCATATGGTTCCCTGAGCACCGCCAGGGGTAATTCCTGAGTGCAGAGCCAGGAGTAACCCCTGTGCATTGCTGGGTGTGATCCAAAAAACAAATAATAATAATAATAATAATAAAGTTTTATGTTCTTATGACTGGTAGGAGTCTGGAACTGTCCCATGAGGCTGACTAGTGATCTGGAAGGACACATTTGGAGAGAATCAGTGTGTGCATTATTCTTTCTGGTGGTTGGGTGAAAGTTAAGGAACTTTTGTTTCGTTTTGTTTTGGTTTTCTCTTGACTTTTTGGGTCACACCCGGCAATGCTCAGGGTTACTCCTGTCTGCACTCAGGAATTACTCCTGGCGGGGGACCAAATGGGATACCAGATAGAACCCAGGTCAGCTACGTGCAAGGCAAACGCCCTCCCTGCTGTACTATCACTCCGGCCCAAGTTAAGGATCTTTATTTTGGCACGAAGTAAGGATTCAGCGATGGCAGATTACCCCAGGAAAGAATGAGTCCTGCTTTCAGAGATTTCTTTTATCCCCTCCTAACTCTGCTCATCTGGACTCCCTGGAAAGTGTCGGTTCTTATTTTCCAAGAATAGGGACATTCTCCCATATGATCACGATGCTATTCTTACACCTCAGGAAATGCACACTTGCTAATTTCTCAGGTGGCTATCTTCTCTGTTTTATCAGATTACTTCATGCTTTCCAAGAAGCCACAGTTGTATCTAGTTTGGGTTACCTTCTGTATCAGGCCGTGGGCTGCTTTGTGTGGAAACGAATCCACTACACCATCCATTAGAGTCATTTTTCCCCTTTGTGTTGGGGCCGTGCAGTGTGCCTGGGGCTTGCCTCGGACAGTACTCGGGACCGTTTGGTCTAGGGACTGAAGCCCGGGCTCCCCGTGCAACCTTTCGAGCCATCTCCCGGCCCTTGAGTAATTTTCTGAAATCTGATTATAATCTTTTTTAAATGCCCCAAAGGGCCAGAAAGGTGAACCCCACGGGGCCTTGAGCTCAGCCCCCCAGTTTCGTGGGGTGTAGCCCCAAGTGAAGGTAAGTAAATGAAGTCAGATACTATTGGGCACTTTCCGGACTTTCTGAAACTAATCCCGTTATCACTTGGGTCATTAAGGCAGCAACCTTGGACGGACCCCAGTCCACGTGTACTGCTGGCACCAGGTGGGATCATTTCTCATCACAAAGAGCATGTCCATGCCCCTGGTGACTGGGCAGGCCCCCACGGGCAGCCTCCCGGAGTCCTCCGAAGAAACAGCGCGAGGCCCCGGGACGTTGGCGTGGCTTCTGGGGGAGTTACTATTTTTCCGTATCTTCTTGGACCCCCAACCTGTGCCCTCTAGTCTTCGAGAAGCAGGGAGGGGAGCCTATGGTTTGGGGGTGCTCTTTGGGGTGCACTCCTTGGGTCGGTGACTAGATCACGGCTATGCGCGTAGAGGCCTGCACCCTGCGGCCCAGGGCGGTGGACGACTGAGACCAGAACACAGTACCCCATGTTGGGCCTGACCTCAGTCTCTTGAGCATGAGTGGACTGTCTGTCCAGATACTAGCTTGCCCCCAGGAGGAATTCAGGAAGTCTGCCACAGTGAATAGTGAAGAGACAGTCTAGATAACCGGGGAGATGAGTTGGAAGGGTGGCGTTTTTTCTGCAGCCACCCCAGGGGCTGGAGTAATGTATCGATGTCGCCACTAGAGGGCAGACTCTGGCAAGTGTTTGTAGCTGCTGATGCTGGCTGTGATGGTCTCTGGTGTGGGGGGTTGGGGCCGTACCCTGAAGTGCTCCAGTGCTATTCCAGGTACGCAGGGGCCTTCCTGGTACCCGGGAGAGAATCTGGGGCTCCTGCATGCAAAGCAAGCCCTTAGTGCTTTGATCCACGTGCTTGGTCCCAGCCATGCCCGTCTCTGACGCTGGGAGCTGAAAGGGGTCCTAGAGGTGCCTGCCACCATCCTTCCCAGAGGTGAGGACCCCGGAGCCTGAAAAGGCAGTGACAAAAAGGGCAGTGATGAAGCCTCAAAGGTTCCACCCACTGCAAACCTCGTGAAGTGGCGAGGATGCCAGGTGCTGGGCCGAGGGTGAGAGGCCAGGCCTGCTCAGTGACCCAAACAGGAAAGCAGGGCCTTGGGTTTTTTGTAACTAGGATTGCCAGTGACTCCGTTGCAAGTATAGTTCTCGTCGTGAGCCTATGACTTCATCGTGTTAATGCATGGCAGGAAGTGGGGGGGGGTGTATGCAGAGTGACTCGTATATTGAATGATGCAGTTGGGGGTTCCTATGCAGTTGTGAAGTTTCACCAACTGGATTAAGATTAACCCTCGCCCTCATCCAGGACGTTCTGTCCTGTCCTGTCCTGCCTCTCCTGCTCAGGCCACCACCTGGCCTGGGCTGACCCCCAAGATTCCCCCTCCCATCCATGCTCAGGTCACTGGACCTCACGTAGGAAAGAGGCCACTGACCCTGAACTCCGGTTCCTGTCATTCCACGGGCTGTCCCGGGGTCCAGAGTGCCCCTTTCATAGAGCAGACTTCCCTGCAACTAGGGAGGGAGGGACGGAATCAGGCACGCAGTGGGACCCCTTTGCTCAGGCCCCCTGGGAGACAGTCCTGGCTCAAAGCCCTCACACGCATCCCTACCAAGAAGAGCGAATGATTCTCCAGCGCTCACACCCCCTCACCCCCTCGCAGCAGTGGATGTAACTGGGAGTCCTGGGACATGGGACCATGTCCCTGTGGTCCATGCAGGGCCGCGTGCAGGGGTTCTGGGACTGGTCTTGCTCCTCAGCCCAGCCGGCGCGTCTCTGGCTTTCAGGCGCCCAAGAATGATCTGGGCCTCCCAGGGACAGGCAGGCTGCGGAGTAAGCGAGGAGGAGGTTCCCGCTGAGCGTGCAAGGCCGGCCTCTGACTGCCGCCTTCTCTCTCCCACAGACGTGGAGAAGGGCTGCCACTTCCGGCACATCCTGGCCTGTGCCCGCCTGCGCCTCTACCCGGGCCTGACGGAAGCGGTACTGCAGCAGGTGCTGGAGTTCCTGGAGAACCAGAGCGACATCGTCAGCGCCTCCGAGCACCACTACGTGGCCTTCTGAGCAGAGGCCCAGAGACAGTTTGACCCTGCCGCGTGAACTGTGGGGTTGGGTCACGCCAGGAGTGGAGTTGGACAGAAACTCTCCCGGACCTCTCTGTACCACCTGTGTCCTTAGGATAAAGTGACATTTGTCTCAGCCATGGTGTACATGAGAACCTTCCCGGCCCAGCTCATGAGTGAACCGGGCATTGCTGTTGGGAAAAGTGGTGCGTGTGAGCAGTGCATGCGTGCGTGCATGTATGGATGTGTGTGTACATGTGTGAGTGCATATGTGCATGTGTGTGTATGCATGTGTGTATGTGTGTGTGTGCATGTGTGTGTGCGTGCGTGCATGTGTGCATGTGTGTGTGTGTGTGTGTGTGTGTGTGTGTGTATGTGTGAGTTTGCATAGAGACCCCTTTGGACTGAGAGACTAGGAGCGTTACCCAGACCACAGATTTGCGGCTTTTCCAAAAAGACAGTCAGATCCATTCTTGTGAGCCCCTCTGGCAATGGGTAAGGACCCGGTGGGGCCCAGATCTTCCCAGGGTGAGTTGGTCTGAACTGGGAGTATGTCGGCAGAGCTTAGCCATGCGTGCTGGCTCCTGGGCATGGACACAGAGCAGTGCCCGTATCCCCTGAGCAGCGACCCCTAAGCCCCAGGGTTCTCAGAGGCGGCCAGCCAATTGCCTGGCTGGCCAAGCTGTGATTTGTGAGGTGACTGGGGAGCAGGCAGGTCATCCTGGCACCACGGAGACCGAGCCTCACTATGTGCCCAGACAGGTGAGGAGGCTGGGTTCCTGCTCAGAACAGCAAGGTAAGGGGAAAAAGAGAAAATCTGAGGCACGTAGCAGGCATGTTCTGACGGCAAAATGACAGATCCCACCAGCAAAACTGCAGCGTGCAATGAGTCGGAGCTGATTACAGTCATTCCGCAAAAGGCGTATCTGCCCCTGTCTGCTGCGTTTGCACCTGACTTAATAAGCCCTCAGGGACCTGCGGAGCTGTGCAGAAACAGGGTGGGTTTTACATCCAGCGTTGGCCGAAGCGCCAGACGTCGGCTGAGAACTCATACCCACAGCTGCTTCCTGTAGGCTTTCTCCGACTCCACCCAGACCGTGGGATGGTTTTCAGCCGTGACTCCCCAGATGGCTGTGCCCAAGGGCCCCTGTGAAGGAGGGTGCCCGGGGTTCCAGGAGGACCACCAGTGCCTCACACTCGGGAGCACCCCAGAGTGTTTGGTCACCCCAAACGAGACACTCTGGTAAGGATGGATGCAAGATGCCCATGGCTGTGAAATTCAGAATCCTCTCATTAGAGAAAAAGATGCCTCTAAGGAAAATTGAGATATGGTTTGCAGACACGTGGCGAACTACCATGCCCCGCCCCCCCAAAAGGATGGGACTGCAAGCTCCTGGCCTCCTGAAACACGACTTCCGTGGGTGTAGCCAGAAGGAAATCAGCCCCAAGACTACTCCCTGCCCAGGCTTTTGGGTGGCCACGTGCTGACCGCCTCACTCTGCTTTGTGTCCCCCAGTACTTGGGCATCAGTCCTGGGCCCCTTTTCCCTCCTGGGCCCCTTACTCTCTTGGGCTCGGCCGGGCTCATGACTCAAACCTTGTACAGGCTGACAAGGGAGGCCCCATGGCTGCGCACTTTGGGCCTCTTATTTGGGGGGAGGGTGGTTGGGTTTTGGGGTCACGCCTGGCAGTGCTCAGGGATCACTCGTGGCTCTGTGCTCAGGGATCATTTCTGCTGGGCTCAGTGGACCATCGGGGATGCCAGGGATTGAGTGTGACCGGCCCCATGTAAGAAAACCTTACCCGCTGTACTAGTGTTCCAGCTCACCGTGGGCCCCTTCTGAGCCCCAGCACCTGCCTTGGGTTGCCCCTGGCATTTGTGGGGGGGTATCTAACATAGTCCCCCAGCACCCCCAACCCCACCAGCTCCTGCAGTCTCCCCTGAGGCAGGTAAAGCAGTTCCGTCTTTCCTGTCACTGCCCTCCATCCACTGTGAGCCAGTCCTCTTGGCTCCACCTTTACAACTTCCCTGGGCTCTTAATTCACACACACATCCAGGATTGCAGTGACCTCCGGCCTGCCCCCTCAACCCACCCCCTCTCCACCCAGCACTGCAGACCCCAGGAGCCCATCGAAAGGGTCAGATGTGCACCCCAACCCTCCCCAACTTCTGGCCTCACTCCAGGGACCCCAAAACACCCCTGTTAGCTGAGATGCGGACACTCTCCCCCCGCCCCCACCTCTGCTCAGTGTACCTGAGACCCAGCTGTTCCCCACACACTCACCAGGAACTCATCCTCCGCCCGGCATGAGTGTCCCCTCCTCAAGTCCCTCTGCGGATGGCAGCCGGTCCGTCTCCCGCCTCCCCTTAGCACCATCAAGCACACTCCACAGAGATGTTTCTCTGTGTGTTTGCTGCCGCGCTCCCTGGGAGCAAGAATGTTCCGTAGAAGCTACACATTTCCTCTGCTTTGTTATGTGCTGTGTCCTCAGGACCTGGAACTGTGTCTGGCGCATCAGATGAGTGTGTGTGTGTGTGTTTGTGTGTGTGTGTGTGTGTGTTCGTAAGTGTGTGAGTGTTTGTATATGTGTGTGTCTGTGAGTGTTTGTGTGAGTGTGTTTGTATATGTGGGTTTGTATGTGTGTTTGTGTGAGTGTGTGTGTGGACTGTGTGTGACTCTCCACCTGCTAATATCTTCTCTCACCAGTGTCTCAAAAATACTTTCAGTCCAGAAGTCCTTGGGATTAACACCTGCTGGGAGCAGCCTCAGTGCGTGCCCTGGGAACTGAATTCCCAGCCCCCTTTGCACCTTGGCTGGCTGTTTCGGAGGCACAGGCTCTCTCCCATTTCCCAGGGCTCTACAGCGGGATCAAGCTCCGTCGGCCCCCAGCAGCAACAGACAAGAACCACGCTCGGCTGGCTGCCCTCTCCTCTCTGCCCGGGTCCCCACTTCTTTTGGCCGTCTCTCCCTCAATTCTTAGGGTTTACTTCAGGGTGGTCACAGTGTACTGTGTCCTTCCAAATAGAGATGAGGGGACAGGGGACACGGCTCTGCAACTGAGCACTTGCCTTGTGGGAGGCCTTGGGTCCCATCTCTGTACCACAAGAACCTAATGAAGCAAATAGAGTTGGGAAATACCGTATGAACAATTCTGCAGAGCAGGCCAGGGAGCTAGTACAGGGGTTACGGCCCTGGTTCAAATCCATGGCACCCCATGTGGTCCCCTGGGCAGAGCCAGAGCACCACCAAGAATGGTCCAACCCTCCTTTTGCAAAGCTACATACATCTAAGAGAGGTGACTAGAAGTGGTCCCCCAAGTGATGATACTGGTTCCCTCTGAAAAAAATGAGATGTTGGATGTTTAAACTATGCTGCTGGAGCCGGAGAGAGAGCTGCTCGCTGGGCTGAATGTATGCATGAGGGAGGCCTGTGTTCTAACCCTGACACTGCATCGTCCCCTGAGCACTGCCAGGAGTGACTCCTGAGCACTTCTGGGTATAGTAAAAAAATAACGGGGGCTGAGGGGGTGGGTAGAGAGATGTTACAGTAAGTAGGGCTCTTGCCTTGTGTATGACTAGCCCAGGTTTGATCCCCGGCAATACATACAGTCCTCCAAACCCTGGCAGGAATGAACACAGAGCCAGGAGTAAGCCTTGAGCACAGCCAGGGGTAACTCCCAGAACAAAACCCAACACGCTACACTCTTGTCCTCTGATAGTGTCACAAGGGGATTAGAGCCAATTCCCGCTCCTCACTTCTAGACCTGCTCCTAGACCCCTTTCCAGCACATCAGCCTGAGACTCTGTGCTCAGTCTGATGCTTCTGTCTGGTCTCTGGCACTGCATGCCCACCCAGGCGCCACTGACAGTGACCCCTGAGCACAGAGCTAGAAGTAGCCGTCTAGTACCACTGGGCTTGGCTGAACACCCCCATGGAAGGGCTTTCAGAGGAGGAGATTTCCCTGGGCCTGGGCCACTCTACACAGTATCCCAATCAGCACAAATTGCTTAGTACTTGGGCCCGGCCACGCTGGGGAACCATGGGGCTACACCCAGCGGTGTTTGGGGGTTACAGGGTGCCAGGGATCACCCTTAGGTCTCTTGTAAAATTTGAAATGGTTCAGCTGAATCTTCGAGAGAGTTTCTTAGGAGCATTCAACAGCGTTCGCATTTTTAAGATCAAGACAGTGTTGCATCACTTCAGCCTGATTTGGTGAAAGATTTGTGAAAATCAGTGAAAACTCTGGCATGGAAATGATACTATTCTCTTCCTTCAGTCCACCCAGTCTTACTAAATCTGAATTCCCACAAAGGGGCCAGTTTTCTGCTCTTCAGTAACCTGTGTCAAGTAGTGGAAATTATGTGTGTCATTAACTATTATTCAGAATCACTTGCTACATATTATTTATTTATGTGTTTTGACTTTGGGGTCACACCGGCTGTACTCAGGGCATACTCCTGGCTCTGCACTCAGGGATCACTCCCGCTGGGGCTTGGCGTGACCATTTGAGTGCCGGGGATGAAGCAGGGTCAGACACATGCAAGGTAAGCACCTTCCCATCTGCACTATCACTCTGGCCCCTATATACATTTTTAATATTATGAGGTGATATGGGCTGGAGCGATAGCACAGCAGTAGGGCATTTGCCTTGCACACAGCCAGCAAGGCCGAGCCGGATTCGATTCCTCCGCCCCTCTCAGAGAGCCCAGCAAGCTACCGAGAGTATCTCACCCACACGGCAGAGCCTGGCAAGCTACCCGTGACGTATTTAATATGCCAAACACAGTAACAACAAGTCTCAAAAAAAATGGAGACGTTACTGGGCCCGCTCCAGCAAATCAATGAACAACGGGAGGACAGTGTTTGAGGTGATATAAACTTCCTAAGAAATTTGGAAATATGTCCACACAGAAACTTAAGCATGAATGGTACAGCACTATTATCCCTAATATCAAAGTGTTGAGTCCCTCCCAGATGTCCATCAGCAGGTGACTGGACCAACAGTGCACCAGCAGTGTTGTTATTGCCAGACAGTGAAGTTCTCTTTAGCCTTGAGAATTAGCAGAGTAGGGGCTGGAGTGACAGTGCAG